TTTTTAAACTTCTTCTCTCACAGGCCTTCAGCTGCTTTTCAAGGCGGTAGGTGCCCTGCAGCAGCAGCTGGGGGATAACTATCACTGCAGCTGGCCTCACAGCACCTAGTAAGCACTACTGCTCTCACTCAAGAAACGTCTGCTCATTAATTCCACAGTTTTTCTCACAATGAAGATGTTTCCACAAGGCATTGAAAACTAAAACCGAATTCCAAACTTGCTATTTAATTATCTTTTTATGAGAATAAATTTTATTGTAGCAATTTAATTTTTAGCATTTATAAATATCTATAAAGCTTTCCTCTCTTATTTTCTCAGGATTCTGGCCACTGAATAAAGTTTCAAATTAAAAAAACCATATAACCCATCCAGAATCGTATTTGGAACCCCAATAATACCATGTAGAAGAATAAGTTAGCCTTCAGAGATAATTTTCATTAACCACATGCTGAGATTAAACTTTTCAGAATCGCCCCGAGATTATTTAACACAGGGGTCAGTAAACTCCAGCCCACTGCCTGCTTTTGTAAATAAAGTTTTATTGGAACACAGTCGCAGCCATTCATCTATGGTATCATCTATAGCTGCTTTCATGTTACAACGGCAGATTGAGGAGTTGTGACAAACACCGTGTGGTCTGCAAAGCTGAAAATATTTACTATCTAGTTCTTTACAGAAAAAGTTTGCCAATCCTGTTCTAGAATATATCTGAGCTAAAATAATGTACCAAACCATGTAAAGAGGGAGGAAAGATGAGGAAGACAGTAAAAACCTAAATGAAGTGTTTCTTTTTAAACCTGACTAAGCAATTACACGCAGGTTGTGATTCATGAGGGAAGTGTAGTGTTCAAAGCTGATTTCAGGCCACTCCATTAGCTTCCCACAACAAGTGTAGTTTAAGTAGGGGCAGGTTCTGAGTGTATCCCACTCCAAAATCTACTTCTGTGGGTTGTTTCAAGCTGCAATCATCAACGGCTGTAAACCGCTTACAAAAAGTACCTAGTGTTCTTTTCTAAACACTGCCCGCCTCAGTGTGTGAATCCATCTAGCCATGGACTTGCGGTCTTTGTGTTCAGTATTAATCTGCAAGAGGAACAAATGAAGTGAAAACGGTTTGTTTTTTCCCCTCCTTCTTCCTCATATGGCTCTGAAAAATCTGATTGCTTTCCCCATCTGAATTTCATGGTTTTTCTGCAAGGTAACCAACCTTTCTTCTTCCTCTTTTCCCCCCATGGTAATAGCTACCTCCCTGTTACTTAAACTGGCTCTTGCCATGTGTATCTCATCTGTCTATTGCAGAGCCTAAAGCATAGCTCCGTGTGAACAGTATTGAGTATTTTCCTATCAGTTAAACAGGGTAAGGGGAGAAGAATGGGAGAGCAGTGACCCTGTGCCTTTGGCAAAATACACTAACTAAGCTCTCTGCCTACAAATACTCATGTAGCATTTTGAAATATGAACTGTTGTATATATGTAATCAGCAATTAGATGTTCCTATCACTGCAGTTCTTCAATGATGAGATAAATGCTGGGCTAAGTTGGACAAGCTTTTTATATATTCCTTATATTCTTGGAGCAGATGACCAAGTAAGTCATCCTGCTAAGATCTTAAGCCAAATAATTTTAAAAAGGAAAGCAGCAAAGGACTTGAATCCAGAATGTACAAAAAGCTCTTACAAGTCAATAATAAGATAAACAACCCAATAAAAAACATGCAAAATGTCTGCACAGACACTTTGCAAAAGAAGATATATGAATAGCCAATAAACACATATAAAGCTGCTCAACGTCACGAGTCATCAGGGAAATGCAAATTACACGCCCAGTAGAATGGCTAAAAATAAAAAAATAATACCAAGTGCTAGCCACGGCGTAACTGGGACTCTATTGCTATCGGGGATATAAAATGGTGTAGCCACTTTGGATAAGTTGTCGTTTCTTCAAAAGTTAAACAAACACTAACTTATGACCCAGCAACCACATTCCTAGATGGTTACCAAGAGAGATGAAAACAAATGTACACACAAAATCCTGTGCATTAATGTTCCTAACAACTTTATTTATAGTAACTAAGACCTGTAAACCACCTAATGTCTCTCCGGAGGTGAATGGGTAAACAAACTATGGCATACTTATATAATGGAATGTTGTTGCTGTTGTTAGGGGCAGGTTGAGTCAGCCCTGGACTCATGGAGACCTCACACACAACAGAATGAAATGCTGCCCAATCCTGCACAATCCCTATGACCGGCTGCGGATTTGACTGTTGTGATCCATAGGCCTTTTACTCAGCAATAAAAGGAATGAACTATTGATACATGCAACAGTTTGGATCAATCTCAAAAGCATTACGCCGAGTGAAAAGGCCAGACAAAAGACTATCCTTTATGATTCCCTTTATATTAAACTCTAGAAAAGTCAAATCTAATCAAAAGTGACCAAATAAAACAAAACAAAACAGTATTTCCCTGGGGCTGAAATGGAGGACGACTGAGAAGGAAGGGGTAAAAAGAAACTTTTAAGAGTGATGAAAAGGATCAGTATCTTGAATTTGGTTATATACGTATTGGAGCCTTGGTAGCACAATGGTTAACAGCTCCGCTGCTAACCAAAAGGTTGGCAGTTTGAATCCACCAGCTGATCCTTGCAAACCCTAGAGGGCAGTTCTACTCTGTCCTATAGGGTCGCTATGAGTTGGAATTGACTAAATGCCAACAGGATTGGTTTTTTTTTACCTGTGTTATACACAATCACCTCATATGCATGTGAAAGCTAAACAAAGACCAAAGAAGAATTGATGCCTTTGACTTATGGTGTTGGTGAAGAATACTGAATATACCATGGACTGCCAGAAGAACAAACAAATCTGTCTTAGAAGAAGTATGGCCAGAATGCTCCTTGGAAGCGAGGATGGCGAGACTTCATCTCACATACTTTGGACTTGTTATCAGGAGGGACCAGTCCCTGGAGAAGGACATCATACTTGGTAAAGTAGAGGGTCAGCGAAAAAGAGGAAGACTCTCAACAGATGGATTAACACAGTGGCTGCAACAATGGGCTCAAACACAGCAATGATTGTGAGGACGGCGCAGGACCAGGCAGTGTTTCATTCGGTTTTATGTGGAGTCACTACGAGTCGGAACTGAATCGATGGCACCTAACAACAACAACATACACGTGTATAAATCTGTCACAACTCATTGAACCATACACTTGAAATGGGGACACTTTGTTTTATATACCATATTTTTTTTTGCAAATAACGTGTGCAACTAAATAACGCACTCACAAATGTAACATGCGGAAATGATGAAATTAAGTAAAACAGTTCTGGCATAGCATGCCCATGCATATACTGCGCACATCTCATGACATCTCCAGAAGTGAATTTCAGCCTCATTCACCCATCCTCCCATATTACAGGTAAATTATCTCTTTCTGTTCATTTTCTTTAATCTCCTGCTTATGTGTATAAAAATAGTTCAAAAATGTTACTTTTGATGATAATTGTATAATGAAGGTATAAGCCATGGTCAAGAAGTCATGGATCAAGTCTAGCAGTCCCCCAGTAATCAGAAAATAAACCATCAAAACTGTGTATTTCTTTCTATTAATTTAAGTGGATAATTACAGCACATTAGCTCAACAGCTGAATTCGAAAACCTTATCAGATCATCTTAAGTGAAACCATTAGGTGATGTTAGGTCTGCTTATTTCGTAGTTTAATTATATCTTCTTAATAACAACTAAAGTCAGCAACATGTTAAAAAAAACTGGCATAGCACGCTTAGGAAAATAACGCATGGAGGTGGGGGTTGCATGGTTGGCAAAAAAAATATAACGTGAGCGTAATCTGTGAAAAAATACGATAAATAACACATCAACGAAAATTTTTAAAAATTATCCTGCTGGGCTCCCAAATCAAAAGATTAAAAAATGCAAAAAAACTTTCTCTCAGAGAAGCGCAAGTGAAAATAATGAGAAATCCTTTTTTCCGTGCTCACACTGATGAAAATATAAAACACTACTGAGATCTGGTGACGGTATAAACGGGGAGGAACAAGCACTATTGCGCACTGACTGACCGGAGCATAAACGGCTACGGTGCTTTAGGAAAGCAATCTGGAGGGATCTTTAAAATTTTAAATCTGTGCACCTTTAATACAGAAATCTTATATGTAAATATCTATCCTCCAGAAATAAAATTACCTAAATCTTAAGGAAAGAAAAAAAAAGATCAACAAACCGGCCCCTTTCCCCACCCCCCTGCCCTCTCTCATAAACCTCACACACAAAATTCCACACATAGTATCTTCAACTTTCTCTTTTCCTCTCCTGAATACAAGTCATTTTCCTATTTTAGAGGACCTTGTCTTTCTCTGATTCAACACAATGCAAATCAGGCCAAGGAATGTATCCTTTTGTGATACACACAGGGCTTGTTTGATGCTTAACTCTACACATAAGAAAGGCAGACTTTAATTTCAATTAAAGTGGCTACTTAAAAAGATAAATGCTATTAAGAAATGAGAAAAATATTGACAAACTAAAGCACTAAACTTTTTGAGATCAATAAACTCACTTCCTACAGGAACTATCTATTCTGGATACTAATTACTACCACACAGTTTCTCCTTGGTTCCTTTCAAGAAAATCAAGCCTGGAGGAAAGAAAGAATCAAAAGAAATAAGGATTATAAATCTAAAAGGCTGGATGCAAACATCTACTGAGAAAGAAAAAGTTGTTTCTTCTCAGGTCTTATTCAATACAAGTAATTTTAAGGACAACATTACTCACTCAAATTGTGAAGAAAATGTGATACCTATGTAAAAGCTCTATCAAACTGTAAAGTGCTATACCTTTGAAAGCTATTATCATCAGCGAGCCAGACTGCCTCCTTTAAGATGGTATCACAGAAAGAACACCAAACTAGAAATAGCCGCATCCTGGTCCTGACTCCACAGATTGAGTTGAATACACTTGGACAAGCAGCCACTCACCTCAGTTTTCTTATGCATACCAATCCATGCCCTGCTTATCTCACAAGCTTGCTCTGAACATCAACAAAATCAGCAAGCAGTCTCTCCATTAGTTTGGTCTGACCAATATGCCACATCATCAATTACACATATCAATGGAAAACTCTTATGATATTCTTTAAGTCCTGATTGAATCCAACTGCTTCTAAGGAAAAAAAAACATCTCATTTTATTTACAATTTCAGCAGAAGATCCAATACCTAACAATGTCTGGGCCTCACCTGTCCTCAATAAATATTTCCAGAGTTTTGAAAGGCATTCTCTTAGTTCCATTATATGGATTAAGGAACAAATATACTGTATTTGTTGTACAGTGTAACACAGTGTTTTTAAATGATTGTTACCCATCAAAACATATAACCAAGCCCCAACTGTCCCAATCCCCCCATTATCAGGGAGACTCCAGAGATGTAACAAAATGATTCATTACCACGTGATCTCCCTGTTCAAACCTAAAGAACTGGGCAGCTGTGGTATCACCAAGTCACTCATGGATGCAGTGATGACATCATTACCCAAAATGACCAACTACACATGAAATCAAAGTGTCCTTCAATTGTTATTATCAGGGCTTTTTTTTTTTTTTTTTTTTAAAATGGATGATCACTTCTTAAACATACCTTTAGGAACAATTCCGTTGGTTGGATGTTACTGGTATTTAGAATCCCATCCCACTACACCTCTACTATAATTCTATCTGCCTGGAAGTCTAATTTAGTGATGTGCCTTACCTTGTATTATAACTGTTCCTTAAAAGACATTATGAAAGGTAACACTTCCAAAAGTCCTAATGGAACTTACTGTTTTTAAAAATCACTATAAATTCGTGTGTAAAATGATTGACCTCCATTTCTTATACAAAAGTATATATTCACATTGGATTTGTTTTAAGCAAGGCACAAAGACAGTGATGTTATACTTGGATTCACCACCAACACTCATGGAAGCAGCAATCAAGAAATCAAAAGACACATCGCATCGGGCAAATCTGCTGCAAAAGACCTCTTTAAAGTGTTCAAAAGCAAAGGCGTCACCTTGAAGACTGAGGTGCGCCTGACCCAAGCCTTGGTGTTTTCAATTGCTTCATATGCATGCGAAAGCTGAACAATGAATAAGGAAGACTGAAGAAGAACTGACGCCTTTGAATTATGGTGTTGGCGAAGAATATTGAATATACCATGGACTGCCAAAAGAACAAATAAACCTGTCTTGGAAGAAGTACAGCCAGAATGCTCCTTAGAAGCAAGGATGGCGAGACTACGTCTCGTGTATTTTGGACATGTTATCAGGAGGGATCAGTCCCTGAGAAGGACATCATGCTTGGTAAAGTAGAGGGTCACGGAAAAAGAGGAAGACCCTCAAGGAGATGGACTGACACAGTGGCTGCAACAGTGGGCTCAAGCGTAATAACAATTGTGAAGATGGTGCAGGACCGGGCAGTGTTTCCTTCTGTTGTACGTAGGGTCGCTATGGGTCGGAACCGACTTAAGGGCATCTGACAACAACAAAAACAGATTAAGAAGCTCAACTGTACGTAATACTTTAAATGTCTTCATTTAACTCTAAATGACTAAAAATTAAAAAATGAAGGGTAATTACAAAGCAAAGCTCCCTAACAAAGATCATCAAACTAAATATGCAACATCTCCTTAAAGACACTTGCTAAAAATACTGATGGCAGGCTATGCCTTGATGCTTTTCACTGTTGCGTGGCAATGAACCCACCAGATACAAACGTTAATTCCCTCAAGCTAACACACCTACTGCAAGCAGCAGGGTGAGCTAGCAGGGACCTTGTCAACTAGCCAAGTTGAGGGCCCTTGCTTTCGAAATGGCAGCACTTAGGCCCAAATGGTTTAGGTAGCTCACTCCAGGATGCAGAGAGAATAAGACACCTCCCTCCCCACCCATTTCCTGTTCTTCACCACTCCACAAAGCCCCATTTAAACCACACCCCATTTAAACCACACCACCCACAATCTCTGTGTTGAACAGAGATTGATGTTAGACTTGATGTTACCATGCTAATCCCAGAATAGACCGCTCCTTATGTTGCTGCATGATTTTGGGAAATACGCCATCCTATTTTGGCAATTTTATATAAGATTTGCTGAATTTAAAGAAAGAGGGGTGTATGTTCTGTATCAATACTAGAAATAACAACTCTTCCTCAGTTTCAGCAAGGCACGGAGCTAAAATTAATCTGGGCTGATTATATATAGGGCAAGAATGAAACGAAGAGCAAAGCCATGGGAGAGGCTGAATGTCAAGGGGCTTTTTCCTTCCCATAGCCCCATATAAGCCATCGGACATCCTAACATAGGTGTTAAAGGGAAGCCCTGAGAAGAAGCACTACCCCTCCAAACTTTTGGAGAGACTACAATTTCAGGTATCTAATTTTAGGCACTAACACTTTCTCAGTAGGCTTGTAGATACTCAGTAAATTACTCAACTTCAAAATGATCTGGCAAACCCATCCCTTATAATGGGTACATTTTATTTTATGTAAACTACACATAAATTTGTTGCTACCAAGTTGATTCCAACTTACACAGAGACCCTACAGGACAAAGTAGAAATGCCCCACAGGGTTTTCATGGCTATAAATCTTTACAGAAGCAGACTGCCACTTCTTTTTTTCGTGTAGTGGCTGGTGGGTTCAAATGGCCAACCTTCTGTTTAGCAGCCAAGTGCTTCAACCACTGTGCCACCAGGGATCCGCCATTCCTTGCAGCCTTGCCTGTGGTGCCTGGACCAGCAGCACTGGCATCCCCTGGGAGTTTATTAGGAACGCAGAACGGTGTGTCCCACCCTAGACCTCTGGAATTGCGATCATACATGTTTAACAACATGCCCGGGTGATCTACGTGAACACTGGGGTTTGAGAAACACTTTCCTACAGTACATGAAGAACCACACTGTGAGCCGATCCACACACCTTAATGACCAAAGAACCCTAACCACGTGCACCATAACAAAGAAATCCCAAAATGCTGCCTCCTGTTCCTCCCCAACCAGTTCTTCAGGGCACACGGGCGCTTCATGAAATTCCATGTTATCGCTCGGTTTTCTCAATTTAGGACAGCTATAATCAACATGCTAATGTGAGGCTGTAACAAATCCCCACTTTTTACTTCTCTGTTCAGCTCTGACTCCAGCCACCCGCACAGCACTCCTCCCTCTGACCCTAGTCATCCGGAGCTGGGTCACATCTCACAAGTAAAGGAACACCGTCCCTCAGACTGGCAAACAGGCACACGCCAGCTGCAGCTTTGGGATTCCTCACTTCACCCTCACTTCTGAAGGGTCTTCCTTCCTTTCAGGATGCCAGCTGTGAGCTCAGGGCTCTTGGACGCCCCCTCACTTCCAACCGTAGCCACCCAAAGCTAGAGCAGATCGTACAAGTTAAAAGGACACTATCCTTCAGACTGCCAAATAGGCAGCCGCAAACTGCAAGTTTAGGAGTCCACATGACACCATAACTTCTGACCTGCTGGCTACAAATTCAGGGTTTCCCTTTATCCCTTCAGGATGTCAGCTGCAAGCACAGGAGTCCCACTGGGCTCCCTCACTTCAGACCTGCTGGCTTCCACTCTCCGTTAGGTTTGATAATTCGCTGGAATGACTCACGGAACTCATGGAAGGTACTATACTTACCATTACAGTTTCATTGTAGGAAAAAAGGATACAAATGAAGAGACACATAGGACAAGGTTTTGGAGGGTTCCCAGCAGGGAGCTTCCATGTTTCAAGGGACTCACTACCCCTCCCATGTGCAGAGATATCTTCCACCAACCAGGAAGTCCACGGAGCTTACATGTCCAGAGCTTTCAGTGACTCCATCACAAAGTCATGATTGATTGGACCAGGGCCCCCCCCCCCTTCCCTAAGGTTAGGTGATACCAGGTGGTCTTTCTGGTCTGGCCAGATCCCACCCATCAACACAAATCCTCAGGTGTGGTTTAGATAATAAAGGCATTTAAATACTCAAGAAATTCAAAGGGTTTACAGTTATCTCTAAGGATCCCTGGTGGCTCTGCAGGAGAAAAGACCTAGCATCTAGAAAACCTGATAGGGCAGTTCTACTCTGTTCCATGGAGTCACTATGAGTCAGAACTGACTCAACAGCACACAACAACAACAGAGTTATCCTTCAGGAACCTAGGGCAAAGGCCAAACTACTTGAGGTAAAGTAAATCTTTACCTCACAGATAATAAGAAAGTAGGTGGCTGGTTTGCATGTAACAGCATGAAAGAGAAAGGCAGGTAGGTCTTTGTGAGAGAGAAAAAGAACACCAGGTGGGCTGGTCCGGGAGAGAAAAGGCAAAGAATGAAGATGCAGAGGAGCGAGAGAGTAAAGGTGTGCTCACTGCTCCCCCACACTTCACCCTGAGCCCCGGCGATGCACATACACCAATTCATCAATATCTTACAGGCTGAAAATGCAAGACTGGCATTCTCTTAAATGAAGCTTTTATACTAAGGTCAGTGATGATGAACTAAAAATGGAAAGGTAGAAATTGAAGAATTACCTATTTCTTGTAGAATTATCTAGGGCAGAACTACCTGCCTAATGAGGACAAAATATAAATAGCAGAAACCTATTTTATAAATGATGGCAGGATCGATTTAATATAATTAAAAATCTGTTTTTTTCTGGGACTCTAACTGCATGGATGTCATGCTGAAAGACAGAGACACCAGATTCTCATCACTTGGGAAAGTGTGGTAGATGACAGAGACAGGACCCTCACATCAGGAAGCCTGGACTGCAGAAGGAGATCTTCCACTAACTAGAAGGGAGACCACAGAGGGTCTGTTAGCCTCAGCTTTATCACCCAAAGTGGGAGAAGTCAGACCACACAGTCTCTGAAAAAACCAAACCAGTTGCTGTCAAGTCAATTCCGATTCGTGGTGACCCCATGTGTGCAGAGTAGAACTGATTCATAGTTTTCTTGGCTATGACCATTCTGAAAGGAGCCCTGGTGGTGCAGTGGTTAAAGCAATCAACTGCTAACCAAAAGGTTGGCAGTTCGAAACCACCAGTGGCTCCGCAGGAGAGAGATGTGGCAGTCTGCTTCTGTACAGATCTATAGCCTTGGAAAACCTATGGGGTCACTATGAGTTGAAATCGACTCAATGGCAGTGGGCTTGGGTTGGGACCTTTTGGAAGCAGACTGCCAGGCCCTTCTTCCGAGGCACCTCTGTGTGGGCTTGAACCGCCACCCTTTTGGTTAGTAGTCCAGCACTTAACTGTTTGTGCCACCCAAGGACCAGAAGGTATCTAAGGGTTCCTAAAGTCTATATGATTCTAAGTAACATAATTATTGTCCCAATATTACTACGTCTCTAAAAAACGAGAATAACAACCCACGGATGTTCTCACCATATGTAGGCAACCCACAGATGTTCTCACCATATGTAGGCTTCAAAAGGTGTGATTTGCTCATTTTGGGATGTAGTACAGGCTTCTTCAAAATCTGATTCTATTCAC